CCAAGTGTTAGAATGAACATCACGTTTGTTTGACAGAGACCGAATGCCCCAGCGCGTTAAACAGTTTGACCAAGTGTTGTCCAAGGTGTGGGAGTAAAGTCTTGTAATATTGTATCATTAGACTGTCAGGGACTGGTGTCTTCCCATATTTAGCAGAGCTTAATGCGGTTTGCACCTCACTCAGGGAAATGGGGTCCTCGCGTTCCCTCCTTATTGGGAAAGGCAGTCTGGGCATACCTGAGGCCATCAAGTACTCTTGTACTGAGGCCCTTGAGCAAAAAGAAGGCCCTAGATTGTATAAGGTAGAGTAGAATTCCCCAAAGGTCTTGGCTACATGCGATGGAAGATTACTGTTGCTGCCGTCTGGTCGCGCGATGTGCAGAATGTAGGTTGCTAGACATTGTGTTTGTAATGAATGAGCTAAAGTCCGACCACATTTATCGCCCAATTCGTAAAATACTCGTCGACACATTTGCAGGGCCACTTTGACCTTGAAACGTAAGAGATCTGTGATTTGGTTGCGTACAAAGAAGCAATTCTGCTTCCTGTTCCGGGATTTTGGCATGTTTATGATGAGATTTTACTACCTGGACCTCAGTCAGAAGGGTAGAAAGCTGCATTTACCGTACCTTTATGATTCTAGCTCCATGTTTAATAAGGAGCACTCTTATCACGGCCTTATGGGCTTCCCAAATCATTCACGGGTCTGGGGTGTCATTTATTGTACAATACGAGTTAATCTCCCGGTCACATCTGTCAAGACCACAGAGTCCTGCAGTAGGCTTTTGTTCAATTTCCAAGAGTGTCATCGTGGATCCCGAATCCCCAATATTGAGTATCAGATCGAGATTGGAGTATGGTCTGACCAAGTAATGGTGCCGATGGTCGCTAAGGTTATGCTTTGTAGCTGCCTATGCGAAATCAGAAAATAGTCTATTCTCGAGTTTAGTTTATGGGGCGGAGAGTAGTATGTATAGTTGTGTTCCCCTGAATGAAGAAGCCGCCACACTTTATGGAGCTGTGCTCTATAAAGAGCTTGTGAGATACGTTTACGAACAGGGGGGGGTAACAGAGGAGGTACCCACGGAGGTGTCAACGTTGGGTATGAGAGGAACATTAAAATTGCTTCCCAGAATGCAGCAGTCGAGCAAGCACTCCACTGAGAAAGAGGTCCTGTTGAGCATTTGGAGCACATACTGTGGCAAAAGTCACCAAGATGTCACCAATCTTACCTTTCAAAAAAATGAAAGCAGCCAAAGCGTCCATCAGTACCTACTGTTGCGACCATGGCATGTGCCTAGATATGAGGATCCATGCGCCTTTTGGACTTAGCCATCTTGTTAGTAGCATGATAGACAGGGGAACTGTCTGTTTCTCAGGTAAGTGAGTCTGTCCTCTCTAAAGTGGGTCTCCTGTATAAATGCCACATCAGATCGAAGCCTTTTGAGGTCCGGTAGCAGCATTCGGCACTTCTCCGGGACTATCAGACCTTTAACATTCAGCGAGGTGATATTAAGGGAGTCCATAGTCTCACCTGATGGGGAGAGAGAAAAAAAAAGGGGGGGGGAAGAGGATGGAGAGGAAAAGAGGGAGAGAAAGGGAGATAGAGGGAAGAAAATGAGTGACAAGAGAAAAAGGGAGTGTCAGAGAGAGAGTAGAGTATAAATGGAATGGAAATTAACAAGTTAAAAGTATGAGATCACCGCACTGTGTGACCCTGTATCAATACTAATATGGGTAACCTAAGTGTGCTCTTTGCGGTAGCCAATGGCCTCCGAAGCACGGGCCTAGTAGGGAACGAAGTAGGAAACAGCCAATGGGATAGCCCGCCCCTCTCCCGAGTTGAAAAGTAGTCGAGCTAAAACAATTATAATGTAAGATCCCTTAAAAAGAAACCGGTAACATCACATGTGTAAAAAAGGGGAACATGAATTACATACTATATGGTGAGAAGAACAGTAAGGCACTCTAACAGTTCCCCACCTTGCACGGCTGGGCCCCAGGGGCAGACAGAGCCGCTGAGGCAGACCAACCGCCGCCTCCTAAGGCTCCCCGGCCATACCGATGTGGAACTCCCAACCTGATACACTGAAATAACGAAGGACAAGCAAATGTGTCCCAGAGGGCAGCCCAAGATCCAGATTAGTCAGATAGGGAGGACCCCCCCCCACTGCAAGACTTAAGTGCAGGCGGAAGCACTCCTCCCCAACCGACCAGCGGTATAAACATTAGGACTCCCAGTCCTCCCAAACGTATAGAAAATGGGCCTAGAGTAGACCTCACAGAGCACCCCCGGTAATATGGCCTGAGAGTATAGAGTCCTCGTATAATAAGAGCCTCAATGTCGGCCTTATTTGGGAGTGCCTGGATAATCCCCCGCAGGCCATCTCCTGTGGGTGGATTCGCAGGGGTGGCTTGTGTGGACATGGAGCAAAGTCAGTTCACAAAGAAAGCCTCAGGTAGGTCTGCATACGTGTCCAAGGTGTTTTGGGGTTGGAGTAGACGGCCGGGACACGAACCCGGAAAGTGAGACAGGCAGTGTTCCATGTGGCGCCACCATATTAGTGTTAGACTCCCGACAGCCAGGCTCCGGAAAGAACCAGTGTATCTCGGTCTTCGGGCCTGGTCCCCGGGATGTCTGCGTCCCCTTCACAGTCTTCTACTTGGCTGAGAGCATGGTAGGTTGTTGTAACAAGGTTTGGCAGCAAATAATTCAGGAGAGTGCGGGAGCTCCGGAGCGGGGCGTCCTCACTCGGCCATGTCCAGACCATGCCCCCCTCCGTGACATTTTTATTAGAGCAGCGCATTGCAAAACACAGCAGCGAGTTATCGCGTATTGTGGCGTGCCGCAACTCATGTCAGGAAGAAGCTTTGGGGTCTTGTGCAATATGTGTTACCACAGCATACTGGTATGAACAGACCCTTAACATCTGGCAGAAGCTCTAATTGTTCTTCAATCTGTCCAAAACAAAAAAAGCAAAACATTTGCGTGCAATACACATTAGCAGAAATGAAGGCAGTATATTTTGTGTTTGCTGTTTAATCTAGCTAAAATGTTTTTAGTAGTCTGAGAAAAGGTCCGCAGAGTTCAGGCGGGAAGCATATTTGGAACAGGAAGACCTCTTAAATCAAGATCTATACTTTGAAAAGAAAAAGGTTCAAAGGTATTGTACAGAAAGTGAGTTTCTGTTTTGTAGTAGAATAGAATTCACTCAGAATTATCAAACAGCAGCCTTTACAAAATCATTTAAAAAAAAAAAAATGTTAGAAGGCCAGGCATGTTTGTATGACTTTCTGTGATTTTTTTCTTTCTTTTTTTTACTATTTGGATGGTTTAATATAGGGTGCACATGGATTATTCTGACGGTAACCCATTATGCTTTGCTGTACAGGAAGTACATTTATATAATCCTCTGCTCCCCCTTCCTTTTCCACAAGTTGTTAAAGGGATGTTGCCATCATGCTGCTTCAGTGGAATTATAGTATGTATAGTTTAAAAATCTGGCAGATTTTGTTTTAAAGATATATCAGTATTCTACTTCTTGGGGGCTGTTCTAGTGTTTACTATCTACCATTGTAAATGCACAGAAGGATACCTTATCTTCTACTGTAGACTCCCTGTGTGTCCCTGGTTTGCAAAGGATGATTGCAGATTAAGCTCCCCAGATCAGAAAGGATTTCCCTCATTTAGTTGAATTGTCATTCAGATGTAGTAGGAGTGAACCTAGGATTTGCCTTCTTCAAAAGTGAGCTCACATTGCATTTGAATAAGCTTTACTTGTATAATAACAGCTCAAAAATAAAAGTATTCTTACGAGAACAAAGGAGTTGTGAAAAGCCTTAAGCCCTTACTGTATGTCTAGATCTACACCATAAATAAATCACTGGGCTCACAGTAGTATTACAAAAGATCCAGACATGCGTAATCAGAAATTGTTTTAGCCAAATATTCCCTTTAAGGGTCTCTTAATATCATATGTCCTGCAGCTATGACAGTCAAATTTCTACATATTCCCAAAGTAAATCCAACAGAGAATAGGCAACACAACTCACACCTTTGTTTTCACGTTCTAGAACTGCAGTACAATATGATTTTTAGATGATTTGTAACAGAAAATACTTGAACATGCTTTTAACTCCAAAAAAATGAATGTCCTGTTCTCCCACTCCAGTGTTCTATGCTGGCACAGGTGAGTAATGGCTTTAGCCCTCAGGTCTGTTAAGTTACTGGGTGCTCTGGACAGCATGGTCAAATTCTGGTGTCTATTCAACTGAGCAGTTTTATTTAAACATACTGTGTAACTGCTATAACATGAAAGGGGAGATAAAGTGAGTGTAAAGCATTTTTTTTATTTTTAATTAAGATAACAAACATGTTATACCTTCCTGCCTGAACCTCCGCTACTGGGATCCCTCACCGGTAACATTTGCTTCTTCTCTTCTCTGTCTGCCTCCATAGCAAGCCGCTTGCTATGGGGGCATATGTGCGATCCTATTATCAAGCTGTGTGCATCTATAGTCACACACACAGCCTTTTGACCCTGCTCCCACTTCCTCCTCTTGGGCTTTGACTGACAGCAGCCAGGGCTGGAACAGAGGTTGTTATTACAATGCCTTCCTGACTGATTATACAGTATATGTCTGTCACTTCAGTTGGGCTTAAACTTACACTACAGTTCAAATGTGTGATTTGTTAAAGTCTCAACCCCCTCTGATGGGGGGCTCTCACAGAATATTAAGGATACATGAGGTTACCCAGTTAAACATTACTATGGCATATAGTGTGCACTATTTTCTGAAAACCTTTTTATGTCCTAGGCTGTGCATGAGAGCTTGTGTTTGTGTGTTAAAATGGTACTAATATAACAAATCTGCATTCGTATTTTAAAATTGATGCCAGAAGATTTACAATATGTGTCTGAAGGTGATTTTTTTTTTTTTTTTTTAACTTTGCGAGACTTTTTTTTTATGATCCTATTATTTTGTATTCTGTCCTACAGAGCACTGTGAAAATCAATCAGATTAGCCTGGATGAAAGCGGGGAACATGTAGGCATCTGTGCTGAGGATGGCAAGGTATATCATGTTTAATTACTATATATTGTGAAGGATGGAACATACTGTATTTTGAATGGCTGCTAACTTTTATGGATAAAAGAACTGGTAAACGGTAATGAATAAAACTGTCAAACCCAGTTGTCAAGTTAAAAGAAGACAATGGGGGTTATTTACTAAAACTGAAGAGTGCAAAATCAGGTGTAACTCTGCACAGAAACCAATCAGCTTCCACATTGTATTGCCAAAGCTTAATTGAACAAGCTGAAGTTAAAAGCTGATAGGCTACTGTGCACAGCTGCACCAGATTTTAAATGCAATCATTTTAGTAAATCTCCCCCAATACCTTTTGTCATGTTATGCAGTATTTCTTGACAAATGGTAGTCCCGCCTACAAAAATACTGTATGACAATTGTCAACTTGTCTACTTCTTTCTTAATTTCACTAATATTTTCTCATATATAAATGAGAAATATAAAGTTCAATTAGCTGTACAGTATATGGTACCAAAGCAAAGCTCTTTTGACTTTAAATGTATCTTATGTTATGATCAGATTGCTGCCTGCTCCCGTCCAGCATTGCATTCCGTTTTGTGGTTAAAGAATTAGTCTGCTTGTAAGAAGCTTATTTTATGTATGCCTTTCAGTAGGGAATCCCTCTCTGGTGAATCCCTCAATATATGTATTAAGGAATTTACTCTGAGGAAAGTACTTCACCTCACAAAAAATAACCTAAGCCTACTACTAGTACAGCTCCTACCTCTTCTTGCCAAAAGGGGTACTTTTTATTTCTCCCGAGCTTCCTCCCCTAAGTCAAAGACGGGTCCATTCTTTTGTCTTAAGCCTTGGACACCGAAGCTCTTCAAGCCTACCCAGAAGCCTTCTACACAATGAAGGAGCACCCTCAGTCTCCGGAGTTGGGTGAAATTTGTTGACCTTCACATGAGTCTGGATTAGAGAAGTCCCAGACCTCTTGGTCCAGTCTGCCATTTCCACGTGGTACAAAATAGAATTTCTATCTCTGCCCCCTCCTTGGATCCTGTGCTTATTTCACCTAAAGACTGGCAGACTTGTGGGCTCAACGTCAGTGGCAACCCCTGTTTGGGTTTTACTTAAAACTATTCATGGCCCAAAAACCAAACCTAAGAATTCACCCCATCTCTGATTAGGGGAATTTCTAGCATCAGTGGAAATTCAAGAAGCCTATCTCTAGTTTCCCATCTTTCCCATGCACAAACGCTTTCTATACTTTGCTGTCTGAGACCAATACTTTTAATAAGTCACCCTCCCCTTTGGGCTCTCTTCCATACCAAGAATCTTCTCAGAGCATCCATGTCATGGTTTACCTTAACAACCGGCTGTTGAAAGACTCCATAGCCAGAACCTTATCTTCCAACATTCAAATGACAATCCACCTCCATCAGACTTTCAGATGGTGATCACCCTCACAAAATATGCATTCCAGCCTTCCCATCCTAATCTAGGACTGCTTTTATACACTATCCAGGCAGGAATTTTCCTTCCCTTGGGAAAAAATTGCTTTTTTAAGACTGAACTGTCAGACCCTCAGATCTCAACTCACTGTGGCGTTCTTCGAGGCAGTTCCCTTCGCTCAGTTCCACTGCAGACCTTTTCAGCTCAGCATTCTCCTGATGTGGGACAAACAGGTCCCTTCTCTGGAATGCCCACTAATTCTGTCCAGTCAGGCAAAAATCTCACTGGTATGGTGGATTTCAAATTCAGCCCTATAATTTAAGAAATCATTCTTCCCCGCTCCCTAGGATATGGTAATGACACATACCGAATGTGAAAAACAATTTCCTAACTGTCCAGGGCACCTGGTCTCTACAGGAATCAATGCTCCCCATCAATATCCTGGAACTGAGAGCTGAAAGTCTGAATTTCCAATACTGGACCGATCTCCTACAGGGTTACCCAGGGAGGGTATAGTTGGACAGTGTCATGGCTATGGCCTACTAATATACCACCAAGGGGGAACCAGAAGTCAGACAAGCTAATACTCTCTTAAACATAGAACCATGTTCCCAGTTCCTAGTGGTTCCTATACCCCTTCCTAATGCCTGTTTTTTTAAATTGAGGAACATCAGATGTGGACCTCCTAACCTCCAAGTTCAAGAAGAAACTGAACAGGTTGCAAACAGATCCAGGGATCCGCTGGCCATTGTGGTAGATGCCCTGGTGATTTCCTGGACCTCATGCAGCCTGGTGTATGCATTCCCTCCAGTGAAGCATTTACCTAGACTGCCTTGAAAAATAATGCTCTAACTTATTCCAGTAATTCTTATTGCCCCAAATTGGCCCAGGAGAACTTGGCACACAGGCATAGCCAGACTGCTGGGCCTTCAAAACAGGCCAGACATCCTGTCACATGGTGCTCTCTTCCACCCTGCTTCTCAGTCACTGGCTTAACGGTATGGCTGTTGAAACCCAGGTCCCAAAAAATAGGGACATCACTGACTCGGTCATTTCCACCTTGCTCAAAGCAAGAAACCCACTTCTTATAAGATCTACCATTGCATTTGGATGGCCTATTTTGGCTGGTACAAAAGCAGGCACTTTTAACGAGTGGAAATATTCTATTCCCTGCATTTTGGCCTTCCTCCAGTCTGGTTTAGACCAGAATCTGGCTCTAAGTACTAAAGAGACAGGTTTCTGTTCTATCCATTCTCTTACAAAGACCTTTAGCTCCACACACTCTTGTAAAGACTTTTATACAATGCGTGGCTCATGTTATTCTCTCTTCAAACTCATTTGTCTCCTTGAGCTTTGCATCTGGTAGTTTTTGGTTCTTCAAAGGACTCCATTGGAACTGATCTTGGGTATTCCATTGGAGGATCTCACAAGTAAAGTGGCCTTTTTGGTGGCAATTACCTCTATCAGGCATGTCTCAGAATTAGCAACTCTTTAAAGAATATTTTCTTAACTTGCATAGAGATAAAGTGCTCCAGAGAACCAGACCCTCCTTCCTTTCCAAGTTGTCCTTTTCCTTCAAATTCACTTCTCACTTTAACTGCATTCATTGTCTGGATGCTGTCAGAGCAGTTAGGGTTTATCTAGCTGTAACATCTTCCTTCTGAAAAGCTGATTCAATTTTTGCCCTCCCTGAGGGTTCCAAGGAAGGTCATCCACTTTATTTTCCATCATAGCTAGGTGGCTCAGACAGCTCATTTCCAGGGCTTATGTATTCAAGCAAAGGGTTCCCCCCTTCCCTATCAGCACCCACTCTATCAGTTCTCTTGGTGATTTTTAGGCCTTTCATCATCAAACATGTTGCAGGTTTGTAAAGCCACCACCTGCTCTTCTATGCATACCTTCTCAAAGTTTTACTGGGTGGACCTCCAGGATTCTGCAGATGCGAATGTCAGCCACAATATGCCTCAAGCTGTCACCTGAGTATTTCAGATCTTGACCTTTGTTTTCTTGTAGGTATGTTTGCCCGAGTTTGCTATATTGTTTCCTACCTCACAGTTTATTGCTTGGGGATGGCCTATGAATACAAATTCTGTGTCCTCACCTGTACTGTACAATTAGGGTAATGGGAATTTTGATTTGCCTCTTAACTCCATATCTTGGTGTACAGTATAGGAAGCTGGTTCTCCTTATTGTTTGCTACAAAACTAAAGTCCCTCAGAGTGGGTGTGGCTATATGAGGGTGCACTTGGGAGTGTTCCCGACAAACCGTGTCCAATCACCAGAAGGTAGCAACATATACCCTATGGTCTATGACTACAGATTCTGTTTCCTATGTTATACTCCAAGATGTGGAATGGAAATAGGTGAGTCAAACTTCCTATATTTTTAACGTACAACTCAAAATTGAAGATTTCTCCGCACTTTCAGTCCTGGTGATCTTGGTCACCAGGTCACATAGAAAGGGTGAATCTCTCTAGTGAGGACATAAACAGGCAAACAAAATGTGTTCTAACCCTACACAACAACATCAGAAACCAAAGAAGCTCTGACTTTAGATACATTTTACCGTTTTTTTTTTATTTTTGTATGTATTTATATTGCTTATTCTATGGAAGCCAAAAAGCAAAATCATGTGAAAACACAAAATATATTCTCATAGCAATAGTGGTGAGACCCTCCTGCGCTCCAAATAATGTGTTTAAACAATTAAAACAAATTAAATATATGAATCCCAAACAGCTGCTAGCATTAAATCATATACCAGTGATCAAGTGAATATAAACCATATAAATGCTGCGCTACATTCAAACTTATTAAGTGAATGTGGAATCCAATGACACAAATCCAATATAGTGACAATAATAATGAAATAAATAATACGTGCTTACTGATAACAAAATTATCAAATAAAACACCCAAAAAGATGAAAAAACACAAACTTAAATCTATACGCATGTGCATGAAAATACACATACATATAATTAAATCACACGTGCAAATGTGAAGTGAAATAATGGTTACTTATTAAACGCAAACAAAAAGTCCAATATAAAAATGTTGAAGGTGAACAAAACTGTAAACGGTGTTTCCAATAATACTGTAAAGTGACCACAGGTGAAAACAAATCGTGCAGGTATCTGGGTGTAGATAGAGCTTATGAATCCAACCACCTTCTGGATTAGCCTCTCACCTCATCACTTCGACCCTTGCGGATCAAAGAGCAATAATGGATCCCTCTCACAGATCCTCCAGGCACCACAGCACTCCAGAAACGCTTTTCAGAATTTAATATTCCCACTCAAGCTCTTCTCCAGGTATAGGTGAAATATCAATCTCTCAGAACAAAACAGAGGAATCCTCCCATAGTGTAGTATATTTATTATACCATAGGAACATAGGAACATAAAACTTTTTGGTAAAAATTCCACTTACATAGCAGCCAGTCCACATGAGACCCTCATGCTCTCAGATGAGGATATATCTGTGTTTGTTGGGTGTACAGCTGAATAACAGGTGTACCAAGATGGCCGCCACGCCGGAAATACGTCACCGCGCTTATGCCGACGCGTTACGTCACAATAACACGT